AATAATAAAAGGATAAAAATATTTTTTAAATTCATTTTTTAAAAATAGAACGCTACATGCGGAAATTTATTAACTTGTTTACTTGTTTACTTGGCAATTATCTAAGGGATAAAATCGAGGAGTTAACCACCGCTGAGAAAATGTACAGTGATTGTCATTTTTGACAATACAATACATTTTAATAAATTAATTTACAATACATTTTAATAAATTAATTTTGCCAGTTTCTTATCGTGTTGTACAATACATTTTGTTAACATTGCTATTGTATTTTGCTTTTGTATTTTTCGTATTCCTATTATTATGTTATTGTCATTATTGTCAGTACTGCCGCAAAATAAAAAAAATATTTCTAATGCATATTACTTTTTGCTATTTCATATATTCAATCATATTTTTCTAAAATATGAATTTCTTAAAATTATATTTACTGCCGCAATATATTCTTGATGAAATGTACAATGATTGCCAATGGTTGACCCCTCGGATAAAATTTAACAGCTTTATTGAGAAACTTAAAGATGTGTACAATCACGTTTGTATTTTTATCAGTGTTGCATCAAAGTTATATTTATATTTTAAACCCTTGACACCATTATTTGCATCATTATTTGCGATAATATTGACATTTACTGAGTTTCTTTTATGACAAATGTGAAAAATGTGTCGTTTATAATTAATATCTTTTATTCTTATCTTACATACTTGTCTATTATAATTTCATGGCTATCTGCTTCGAGGATTAATCTGTCATAACAAACATCATGTCATTATAGATTACATTTTATCTCTATCTTGGAGAAATTATATATTAATATTTTTTTTACTTACTTTAGAAGATATTTGTGGTAAATTTTTTTAACGATAGATTAAATAATTTTTTTAGATTAGCTAATTAAAAAAGCGAGTCTCTGGTAGATTTGGGATCTCAGGTCCTTAAAATTATAAGTGGATATATACACTGGAACGATGCATCCTTAAATTTCCACTTCATGCGAGGGGAACGTTATTATACCCGGGATCTTCCCGACAAGCAAGCGTCAGGAGAGTAACGAGAAACGCTACGCTGATTGCAATTAATTGTGCAACGCTCGTGCGACGCGATGCGGTGCAGTATGTACAAGGAATGGAAAATGAGCGAGCAGGAGAGGAAAAATGCCGGAACGTTGAGCGCTGTAATTCCTAAAGTGAAGCTCCATCGTGCATGGCCGCCAGGCAGGACTGCATTCATTTGCGTTACACCCTCTTAATCTCAGCACCGATGAACGTCGTGCGAGTATTGAACCCGATAACGTTAATTAACGATTCTATATAAGTCCGCGATAAAGAAAGCTGTCGTAAACGTCGCAAAAGATAGATCGAGACATTCTAATGTCTCAAATTTATTTTAAAAGCTCAATTATTATAATATTATCGCACTTTCTTTTTATCTGATATTTAATATCGAGTTCAAATAATCGCGGGAAGTATAATTTAGGATACTCTTTTATCAGAAATAGAGAGAGATATTTCTAAAAATATAAAAAAAATAAATAAATATTAAAAAAAAATTAAAAAGCATATTGTACAATAATTAATGTATTTCATTAGGAACATAAGAATAGGAGGAAATAATAGAGTTGAAAGTTTTAATTTTGTATATTATATCAATTAATGAATTTGTTTTCTTAATTCAGACATGAGGATTAGCATCTTCGGTTACTCCATCTTACATACTGTTGCTTCCATTGGTAAAGTGAAAATAATACATAATCATAACATTAATATAGGTTCCAAGATCACGCGCGCATAATTTGCACTCGCTATTCAGATGCAGGTATATCCTCATTAAGCCAATCAGATCAAGTTTGCATGCATTATCCGTATGAACATTACGGGACATTCGAGTTAAGAGGAGGTGGTGCGCGACGTTCACGAGTTGCTGAATAGCCAATCAGTACGCTATATTTCCGCGAAATAATAATGCCAGAAATGAATAACATATCATCAACATTACAGACAAAGCGGATACTATTATAATTATTTTTCCAGAATTTTTTAAAATCGCATATTTGATACTCTAAATTTAATTATTACATTTTTACTTTATTTCGTATTTTCCCTTTTCTTTTTAAATGAAGATGCATATGTATAAGTCGTTCTAGAATCAACTTACATCTCATTCTAGATTTAAATTTGCATCCCATTCTAGATTTAAATTTGCATCCAAGGTTATCTGAACTTTAATATTTTTATGCTTTATCCATAAAATTCAACAGAGGACGAAATGTATTTCGAGATTTGCAAATGTCAGCGGCAATATTGATCGATATTTGATCATATCTTGTCCATATTTTTGTCATTTGTTCCGCGATATTAAAAGACGACGCATTTCCATGTAGTATAATCACTGACGGATTTGTAATAGGATTGAACACAATATGGCCTCTCGATCCATCACGTTGTAGTCGACTAGGAAGCCAATCCTCTTAGGTTCTACAATCGGTAGTCTAATCAATAGAGGCAAGAAACACCTGGCACACCTTTCAATCGCTCATTTGCCGTTTCTCGTGGATCTCTAGATAAATACGAATAAAATGGTGACGTAAATGTATTCCTTGGACATTCTTTTAATTTACACTAAAACTTTTCTTCAACTCAACATTAAAAAAAATTATAAATTTGTTAAGAAGGAATTTAATAAAATCAGATAAAAGCACAAATAATAATAATTATAATATAAATTATTACAAAATATTAAAAGATTTTTCTTGTAAGAAAAGAAAAAGATATTGGCATAAAAGTACAAGCTTTTAATTCCAGTGATGAAATTACTCGGCCTTGGATAACTTAATCAATAAAAATATTTATGCCTGATTTAATAAACAGAATTCCGCGAATTAAGAATATTTATGCAAGTTTTATTATAAATGTATTCATAAGGAAAAGCAATAAAATAGAGAGAGAATATTTAATAGAAAACTATAATTTTATCTCATCTATGATATGAATAATCTCTTTTCTCTTTAGAAAATGCGAATACAACAGTCATCATCATTTCATTAAGAAGTATTTTCTAATGATGATTTCTGCTAGAAAAAAGATATAAGAAAAGAATCTACATAAAATTTGGAGAATTGTTGAGAAAACATATATATAATAAATTTGAATAAAACACTTTTTTACTAAATATTTTTTACTAAATAAAAATAAATAGTAAATATAATATTATATATAAAGAAATTACAAAGAGGAAGAATTAAAATAAAAAATAGGTAGATAAACTGTTATATATGTTCACTCTCATTTTCGTCACATCTTTAAACGTGTCGCAGATTCAAATTACCGTTAGATAATACGCGTAAGTACTGACCTTGGTTATAGTCTGATGAGTACCAGCAGTTTTGCAGCGACGTACCGCATAAAAAACACTAATAAATATGTACAATTAAGCGATATTATCGTGTCGTGCTTGTTACCTACATAAATCGGCCGAGTTCATTATCCTTTTCTGCCCCTTTCGCTTGCTTCCTCTCTCTCTCTCTCTCTCTCTCTCTGATTCTTATTTACATTTTTATAAACGGTACACATATATATATATATTATATATATATATATATTATATATATATATATTATATATATATATTTATATATATATTTATATATAATATCGTATATTTGATACTCTAAATTTAATTAAATATATCATAATATCTATTCTACAAAATAATATAATAAATAACCATAAAAGAAAAGATATTTTAAACATTATAAGTGTAAATATTTATAAACGAATAATTAGAAAATACAGAGAAATACAAAAATTTATAATCTTCGTTTTCTAGTTGTGATAAAATTGAAACACGATCATTGAGAGATATCATTTACAATTAGAACATTCTCTGCGATTTTTAAATGAGACATCAGAATCGTTTGCTTTGACTGAAGTTATAATTCTATGCATATATGCACTTTCAGTAGTCACGCACCTCGACAGAGGCATAATTAGCACTATATGTAAATAAGTTCTTGTGACGAATGAATTCTTACGTAAGCCTTCTGTTCGTCTTATTATGTCGACCTTGGACAGTGACCATCCTCGGGAAAGTACATTGATTTGTCATTCTTATTTTTTTACTAGAAATCATTAACATAAATAGCTCATTGACTTTAGAATCGCCTCATATAATCGATTAGTAATAACACTTATAGTTGTGAAAACGAAATACTCTCCTCTTTTCGAGAAAAACATATGTGAAGAAAATATTTTTATATTATGTCATAATTTATTAAACTATTTTCTTATATTTTTCTTTATATATTTATTTTAATTCATATTTTATAACTTATTATAATATCGAATTATGATCTTATCATCGACCATGTTATATTTGTTGTATAGTATATCTATACAATTAACATTTCGATTAATCATATAGTGTTACATATAATATAATTATATCATTAGTAATTTATCATCTTGCGTTAAAATAATTTTTCCATGATAATCTTATCATTAGCTGTTATACTTGTTGTGTATCCATATAATTAACATTTCAAACGTTCATATATACGAATATAATATATAATATATCATACATTATTAATTTATCATTTTTTTTTTTTTTTTTTTTTTTTTTTTATATTATTTAATTTAATAAATATTATTTAAAAGTTCTAAATTCTTGAAAATATTATTTAATTTATATTTAATTTATATTAAATAGTATTTATAAGAAAACGTATGCGAATGGCCCAAAGTGCTAAAAAATTGAAACTACGCGAGCATCGTGCAGATAAAAATACACACGACACAGTAATGAGAATAATCTCGAGATTAAACTGTTAATGATGAAAAACTGCTCCGGAATAATTCGATTATCCCCGTTTGCGATGGAGGAGGTAACAGAGTTTCTCGGCGCAGAGCGCTACCTGTTATAGTGGCGTGTCGCGTAATAACAGGTATTTTTTCTCACGATCATTCAGCTGCGTCCTCAGCTACAAGCGCGTCACGAGTCTTCTTCTACGTCAGTCCGTGCCCGACCATCGTGTCGCGTGGATCGCACGTCCGACCTGCGTGCAAGGGAACCGCGATTTATTTATAAATCCGTACGGAACGTGGCATCCGGGTTTTCTCCCAGTCGCTTTTATCCAAGTGGTGCGCGTATCACGTCGGTGCGTAGCTGTGGTTGTGCCTGTGTATCAGTGAAATCGAAAAAAAGCATCCTGTTGGACGAGCTGCATCGTTCAACCATGCGTTACCAAGGTAGGAAGTCTGCGTCGCTAGTCGAACTGGTTTGCGTTTTTTTTTTCTTTTTTTCTTTTGAAGAAAGCTTACTGCAATAAAGCTCGCGTTGAAGCTCTAAGTCTTAAAACTTCAGAGTCAGCTTATAAAAATTGAGAAATTAATGAAACGTTCGTCGTCGTGCTTTCGATTCTAATTCCGACTCGACATCCGCTCCGATCCGAACGGAAATAATGAAGTTTGGGATTATAATCTTGATCTTGGTCGATCGCGTTTATTTCAACGAAATATTTCCGAATTTTCTTTTTATATATATATATATTTTTTATATTTTTATTATATTATTATTTTTATTATTTTATTATATTATTATTTTTATTATTTATTATATTTTTTTATATTATTTATATATTTTTTTTTTATTATTTCCGAAATTTCCAGTTTCAAATCTTGAATCTAAAATTGAAGACTTTGAAGTTGTTGATGGGTCTGGACTGGATCTACTCCCGCTCGAGATGTTCAATTGGTGTATCCTTATTGCTGTTTAAACCTATGCTAACTTTAAAGCAGTGCAAATTTCGAACCATATATTTATAACCATACATGATGTTCGACGTAAATGGAAAGTCACGGGCGCAAAGTTTCATCTGCAGAACGCAAACTCATTTAAAAAATACACTACATGTAGTTCATTAGCGCGTGTTGTAGCTTAAGAGTGTCTGGTGTTAAGTGCAACCGGGAATACCTCTACAAGGTCACGAAGCGCTTGCGTCGTCTTCTCTTCTACGCAATTCCTTGAATAATTAATAGGAAGTGGATTATATATGGAGAACTCATTAAATTTCATCGTTTTTAACAATTCATGCTCCCATAAACATCAAAACTTACATTATTATTAAAACATTATTATCAAATTCGCATAATCACATTGGGCTTTAATTTTTCACGCTCGTGTACTTTACTCGCGCATTAATTCTTCATATAGATAGAAATACTCAAAATGGTGTGTGTGTATACATATATATATGAACATTAAATTGGCTGACCTTAAGAAACGCTAAACATGGAGTTCCCTTGCACGCATCTATCAGTGCGAGTCAGTCACGGACACGCTTCGCTGCGGGCGACATCCTGTGGACTTGTGTGCGTCGTATCGTGCGAATATATATGCGCGAATTTGTTTTCGTATCACCTTCGATAATGCTAGATTTCATTTCAATCAAATTGTGAAATGTTGACAAAATTTCGATTTCAAGTTGAATCTTACTAGAATCTTCAGAATGTTCAAAATTAAAAAATTGCGCAAAACACACAGAGAAAAATGTATACTGTATTCAAGTAAATATTATTTATTTTAAGTATATCATAAGTTTGTATATCCGTAAATATATCATAAGTTTACCACAAGCATTAAATTTAATTGAATATATTCTGAATTTTAGTAAGTGCAGTATTTTAGTCGAGAATATTAAATTAAAACAAACATTTGGTTTGCTTACTACAAGAATTGACGTAAAGTAAGTTTGATTTTTCTTTGATACAACTTTACAATATTCTTGAAGAGAAAATAAATTTTTCTTTTGAGTACATGATAATGAGATTTTCTAACACTTGTGATGAGTATATTTTAAGATTATTATCAAGAATATATTCTTTGAAGAAAACTATTACTAAAATAAATTGAGTAATAGCTTTTCTTGGCAGTAGAATGACATTTTTCTCTGTGCAGGAGAAATACTGTTAATTAATGTCCGCATACAAATATTCCGCTTATAGCCAAATATTTAAATATATCAGGCATTAATAAAATCATGTAATTTAAAGTTGAAAAAATTGCTGATTAAAAATAATTGGGTATTTTTCACTAAAGCCAAAAAATTATATAAATAAATATCCAGGTTGAAATATCATTCAAATAATTTTAGAAATATCCAAAGCTAATGAGACAGATGGAATGTCATTTAATCTCGCATTCATTTTTGTGCGTGCAATGAAAGAATGTCTCTTAATTGGCATATTTCGGGAAACGTAAAAATTGTTGAGCTTCCCATACTTATACATGCGGTTGCGCGCCTTTTTTTCCAAGTCTACGCAAACATTTTTGCGTAATACGCAAAAACCTGGTGGACCGTATATTGTTCCCTGTGTAAACGTGTTACAAAACCATGCGTTCCGCGTATGTGTGCGTGAACACACATTCACGCTCGAAGGATCTCGCCCTTTTCTCTCTTCTCCCTTCGCGGATACCTACTACAATGTACAGTCTATACTTACACACATGCAATCGCTGCTATTTAGAAACTAACGGATCTTTTGTGGTACTCACAAAAGGAGAGAACTATTCCCCTCCCTAGTCATTTCTTACTTTTTAAAAAGTATCGACCAAAGGAAAATTTCGAAGAACTGTCTGAAATCCTTGAAATGATTTTTTAATTCTTAAATACGCTTAAATGTACTTAATTTTAAATGGAATATTTTTATATGTATTATTTAATCGTTTTTTCGTAGCTCGATAAATTTAATTTGTTAAATAATTTATTCAGACAGAAAATTACGATTTTCATTATTAAGATTAACAGCATACAGATTTTTTTCCATTAAACTATTCGTATACTCAATGTAAAATTATTCAAAGTATTCGAGGATTATTCATCGAGCAGGTATTTTTAGCGCAAATTAGGTCGCACGATTTAATCGATGTCACGTTACATCCCGTACTTGGCCATTATTAACCTTGGCTCGCCTCGTTCAGAAACTAATTCGATCATGGCTCATGGAATTGTATTAGCGAGGGTTCGGAATATACGCTTATCGCATGAGGGAGCATAATCAACAACGTCCACGACGAAAATTTTAATGAGCATCTTTTTTCTTAGTTACCGACAATGAGAGAATTGTACAATAAAATAACAATTTACTTTCATTATACTTAATTATTGCACTGATTCTAATTAAACTTGCGTGACAAGATAACCGCGTTCTCTTTCTTCTCGACGAGATCCTTATTTATTATAAATTTAATTAACATTTTAAAAGATCTTTGCATCAAATAATTAATATCATAATAATATATAATAATTAATATATTAATATTAATATTATATATAATAATTAATAATTGGATAATATGTAATAATTAAAAGTAATTAAATGCTCTATATAATTTTGTTTTTGTAAATTTTTTGTAAATGAAATTATTGGGTTAGAATGAAAGGGATTAAATATTTTTATAATTTATTTGATCCCTGTTTTTAATAGAGACAATTTTGTATCGCGTCGCGAGACCTGAAAATATAATTTAGAAACGACAGAGAGTTGCTATCAATCTACATGTCACGATCCAATGCCAATAGATGCTGAAATTCGTCGGCCTCTTTACGCTCCACATATTTCAAAACCCTTTCTTCTGTCACCCTACTTGCTACTCTCATCCGTTTCCCCGTCTTTCTCGATGTTCTAGTCGAGATACTCTGTAAAGGAAAAATACGAAGCACTTAACGGGGTAGATATTGCATACCTTGTAAAACTTATCTTCTGTTAAATTTGCTCAATAATTTATATGAAAAAAATTAGCATTAGAGGAGTCGCGGTAAAAAAAATTGATGCAACGATGACCAAACTTTCCATACAATATACAAGTTGCACCTATATCAAACTATTAAACAATATAAAATATAATATTAAAATTTATGCAGAATATCTAGAATGCAGAATATCTAGAAGTACATAACGTATCGTGAGAAAAGATATATCTCCACTTGTTATGATCGTAGATATCGCAGTGACGGAATTTTTTTCGCGAAAAAAGATGCTCAGCACCTGATACAGCACGGATCTATGACGTGCAATATAATATGCTTAAATCCTGAGAAAGATACTGATGCGATAGCTTCCCGATCGCGTGTCATATAGCGGGATTGTGTGTCGAGCGAGACACGAGAGAAAGTAGGTGGTTTCATCCGATCGATAACGAAGTCCCTCTCTTCGTAAGACTGTCTTTTGTATCCGTAAAATCAATCTTTCAAATTGAAAAGAAACTGCATGCAACCGTGCCACATCTTGCCATCTTCTACGTATGTACACGCATCATTGCTTTTATTTATTAACGTGCCAGAGCTCAAGTAGGCTAAACTATACTTCGGAATAATTCATATACATTATATCTTTTCAATATTTTTCGGATATAATTTTAAAAATGTTTTTCAAAAAATTTTTTTTAAATGTCACATTTTTAAAAAAGGCTAAATTATAGAAATCTGGAAAAGATTTGAAGATTTAATTATAAAAAATTATGCACGTAAGCAATCAAATTGGAAGCAACATATTTTAAGTTAAGCATGTACAGCCCTCATAACCGTTTTGAATCTTAAATATTTTAATTATATTAATATGAAACAATAAATAATCAATGATCAAAGATTGGCAAGATGGATTAATTTAAATAAATTTTTTTAAATTTTTTATCGCAACTGTTATCGCAACTCTTATTAACACTTTATTAAAACATAACATTGTAATAATAAATTTCAAAATTTGGAATTTTTACAAAATTATTCAATCTATAAAAATTACTATTATTAATTAAATTTAATCTATATAAATTATTTAATTTATATATTCGATAAAAAATATTTTATATTGTATTTGTTATTTTATTTCATTGTCAACTTTTCTGCTCAAAGTCTGCTGAGATTAGAGGAAACCAGACTGTTGAATTTTTCAATCATATCCCCGATAAATGTTTGAATTTCGGCTTTGCGAAGTTGATCTCAGATTCGAGCCTTTCACCCTCCTTAACGTGAATAATCTCGATCTGGAAGAGCCTTTAAGGATCGTACAGGTGGATTAACATGCTTCGCTTGAAGGCCAATAGGAGCAACTCCGACTAATTGCATCTTCACGATCATTCTGCATGAATTTCTGCACTCCAACGACGGAGAAGAGCACCTCCAACATCTCACGTAATAGAAGACCGACGTTCGTTAAAGTGCAAAATAAAGCATTTAGGCGATTATAAGGGCTACACAGGTTCTTTATAATATTTTTAAAACATGCTATAGGCATATGGTTTGCATATGCACTTAATAGCATGTGCTTTTTCCAATTTTGTTAGTTATATGCACAATTTTCGATAGTATCAATCTTTAATAATCTTATAAAAATCTGATTGATGATATTTTACAAGAGAGAGGTTCCAAGTTTTGATTTAAAAATTTTGTTTGAAAACGTGAGTTTTTCTTGAAAATACTAAATAATGTCCCAAAAATTCTATCAGAAAAATCTCATGGTTAAAATTGATAATTAAAATCTTAATAAAATAAAAAATTTACGGCATTTCTTTTCTAAGCATCAACTTAGCATATAACTCTTATTTTATTAAATTGAAAGAATTACTTAAAATGTCGCCAAGTTTCGACTTATTGATTTATTAAAATATTAAAATATCTAAATACCGCGCGAAAATCTTTTATTATAATTTCATAAATTTTATTAGCTAAATGTATTTTCATATTAATCGTAAAACTTGAAAAATTATTTATTTTTAAAGTTTATTTTATCCAAGTAATCTGTAAAATCATTCATTTTTAAAGTTTATTTTATCCAAGTAATTTATTATATCATTTTCCTTCAAATATTGCCACTTTCAACATTCTGAGTCATTATTCTGATAATTACATTTAACTTATATGTATAATTTTAAATTTATTTCTTTTTTAAAGAGATGAAGTACTCCACAAGTACTGCATTTTGTGTTATCATTTTCTTTGAAATATTTTTGTATATCTAATAAATCTTCTTTACGTTGACATCGTGTCTGGCACCATAGGTCATATATTTATACATATATATATACATATACTCGTACATATATAGGGGCGGCGTGTGGCTGAGACAGTGAAGCTCTTGCCTGCCATAGGAAGCGTCGCGGGTTCAAGTTCCGCTAAGGCCATACATACATACACATATATGTGTAAATATATAGCCTTAGCCATAGCCCTGCTACATGAATTATTAGCATTTAACCTGTAATTCTGATTTCGATTACATTATTGACTTTGGTTTCATAAATTTGACGATTCATAAAACATTACCCGAAAAAATAAGTGAGAAATAATGCATTTATGATGAGTAATTAAAATAAACGTATTCTCATTTTTACTTATTTTTATATCAGTTTTCGTATTCTTTGCAACATTTTGTTTATTCAAAGTTGATATGAAAAAAGAATAAATTGTATAAAAATGTTTAACTTTTGTGTATAAATATATATATTAATATATAATTATCTGCTTAAAACATTTTTAACTTTTACAGTTGCTATTTTACAGTTTGCTAATCTACAGCTCATAATCTCATCTATTAATAATTACAAAACAAATTACATAATTGTAAATATGTGTCAGAATAAATATTAGTATTAGTAGAAACTGCTTTTCAATTCCTGCAGGATATTTTTGAATTAGCAAAAATTAATTCGTTAAAACATAAATCATCGGATCAATAAATATAAATTAGTTGAATATTGTAACAAGCTTTTTTATAAGTACATTGAAATAATTATAAATTAAACACATGCAATATTATGCTTACATATAAAAATGTCATTTTATTCATTAACAAATTATCAAATATTAAGTCACATCAATATTTTATATTCATTATAATTAATTCATGTCATCAATAAATTATATGAAACCTAATATCGGTTTCAATATTTGTCTACACAATATATTTAATAAGTTATTTTTACAAAATCAATAATAGATCATGTCATATAATACGTAATGTTACTTTCGTCGATGTTTGATAAGTGGAATTAATTAAAATAAGAAGAATATAAACAATCGATATAATAATAAATTTGTGTTACATTAATGCAGGCTCATGCTTAGTTAGCACTTTTCTGTCGATTTTGTCTACTCTTATCCTCACTTCTTTTATTTTATAGTTTCTCTAGACTTGTCGCGGAAACGAAGGACGCTCGAATTCAGAAATGATTACAGTTATAAATCGTTCGACACATATTTCTCTTACACTTTTTATTCTTTCTGAAGTTATTATAAATATAATATTAATTATTATAAAATTAGAACACTAGAAACAAAATGGAAAATATATTAATTGTATGTATATGTACGATTAACAATTGTGTTTCATTTTAGTGTTACTTTTGACTTTATAATAATAATCATAACAATAATAACTCTGTAAATGTATAGAGCAATTAAACTATAATTTTTACCGCCTGATTCGTCTTACGTTTCGCAAGCAGTCTATGTGCTATAAAATAAAAGAAATAGGGATGGCAATAAGTAAAATAAAAGAATGGTCGATTATATTTCTTTGATCCCTAAAATAAAAGAAATAGAGTAAATAGGGTAATAAGTAAAATAAAAGAAATAGGAATGGCAATAAGTAAAATCGACCGAAAAATTAAGCTAATCGCAAACCTGCATTAATGTTACAACGAAATAATACAATAATTACTCATCATAAACGCATTATTTCTCACTTATTTTTTCAGGTAACGTTTTACGAATCGTCAAATTTATTAAAGCAAAGTCAATAATGTAATTGAAATCAGAATTAAAGTTAAATGCTAATACATGTAGCAGGGCGAAGTGTGGCACAGTAGGCAGCGCACTAGCTTACAAAGCCAAAAGTTCCGGGTTTGATTCCCGGTAATACATGCAGATAATGGAAATCAGAATTACAGGTTAAATGCTAATACATATAGCTATTAAATAAAAAATCAATATAAATAATATCTTATCAAAAGTCCTGGGTTCGATTCCCGGTAATACATGTCACATTTCTCTACGTTGATCATGTATTGGTATAATTTCTTCCAATAGTTCTCATTTTTTTTGTTAATTTCATGCTCATTTTTTAAGTGTTTGGTCATTGTTGAAGTTTCTAGCAGTGTTTCTTTTTCGATATCGGGATCATCATCGATAGATATTTTGTGATAACATGATGATTTGCTTTTTACTTCTAGATTGAGCATATCATTTGAAAAACTATGTATTTACAAAAGAGTTTCGATTTTTATTTTATAAGATTGTTTTATGTTGTAAGTTTTATGTTTATGTATTAAAAACGCAAGATATATAATTATATGTACATCAAAATGTTAGAATTCTTTCTCAACTTTCATTGAAAAAATGTATAATGATTGCCATTTTTGGCAGTACAATACATTTAATTGCTAACATTGCTATTGTATTGCTTTGTATCGTTAGTAATGCTTTTGTATTTTTGGTGTTCCTATTATTATTTTATTGTCTAATATTGCTAGTATGATTTTAATTCATATTTTTCTAAAACATGAATTTCCTAAAATTAAATTAATATTGCTAGTATGATTTTAATTCATATTTTTCTAAAACATGAATTTCCTAAAATTAAATTTACTGTACTGCGGCAATATATTCCTGATAAAATGTACAATGATTGCCAATAATATACCCTCGGAAGAAACGCTTTAAAAAAAGTATTATCGAATACACTATCGAGAGATCATTCTTTTCGGAATAGGCGGCATCTTACATAAAGTGCCGTGCATAATAGAGGAAAATATGTTTAAAATACACTGCATTCGTATCTACACAATGTTCGACCCCTTCTCCTCCTCCTTTATTCTTAATATCTGTACTGCAAGGAAATACCTCGTCTATTTATTTCGACCGCAACTTTATCGACTAGCACGGCTCGCATTCCAATTACGAAAATTATCATCGAACTCACGCGAAAATCTCCATTGTATGCTTGGTGAATAATTTTCGAGCTTCCCGAGAATTGGCCATGCGCCAGCAAATTTTTAATCTTCTCCTGATCGATCGCGAATAGTACGGATAGAACAATGCATTGCAACGTTTCGCAGAGAGATGCATAAATATCTAGAAACAGACTCGATGGGTTTCAATAGTCGTACGTCTGAATAATTCACTTTATCGTTTGCAAAGATTGTTGAACGATCAAAAATATAATAAAAAAATTATACATATTGTGTCACGATCATAATTATTATAGCTAAATGCTCGTAATTATTATTTTAAAAAATATTGCACGAACGATTTACGAGAAAATATATATTTCCCAAGTTTTTCGGAAAAGTCAATGTGATTGCAGAAAAGCTCGTGTCGACAACGATAAAGCGCATAAAGGGATGTTTGTGACATTTGCCACAGTCTGTTCCTACCGAAGCGCGAAATGACGCCGACGTTTCCACTAATACAATGAACAAAGCGTGGCACGACCTACATTTGAGACTCGATTTTCAAGTTCAAAATAGCGAGTGCAAACTTGTTGTTCGCTACTACAAGTACATAAATACAGCTATCATTTCGATCAGACATATCGATTAAATAAAAGACGCACCATATTGATAAGATTCAAGATTAAGATCCCAACTTTCGACGTAGTTTTGACTTATTGTTAATACTTCAATCTCTCTTACGTTATAAGTTAACATTTAAATAAGGATCACATTTTTTTGTTCTTTGACGTGTAACATTAAAATATATCGATTAAAATATACCAGAGCGGTAGAAAAAGTCCACAAAGATCGATCTGTTTTCATTGATTTTACATTTTCTTAATTCAAGTTGTCCCACTTAAAATAACCATAAACTGTTTAATTAACGGGACTCGTATTAACCTAGATCTTGGACGTAAATTTGCGGATGTAATTGTGTAAATTGTAATATTAGGTATCGTTGGTCAAGCTGTCGTTGTCCTGCCAACGGGCAGCCCATCGTCGCTATGATTCACTGTCGGATGCAGACGTCCTTCATCGTCCTGAAACCACGTCACGAGCCGGATCGTTATCTCCGCATGGAGCATCGCAATTGTTTCACGTTCGATTATTGGAAAATGTGATACTGGGCGCGCACTGGTGAAGCAAAACTGTTTAATTAGCCATCTGGTTATAATGACTAAATGAGATTGCGGCGGTTTTACATTTCCATAGAAATGAATTTTGGAATTGTATAAAACGTCTCGAAGTAAAAAGAATTTAAAGTTGAATTATTTAACTCGTTACCTCGTTATAACGGTCAATTAAATATGTAGGCTGAAACTTGGGGGAGGACCTTTTATAAGGATATTTTGTACTTATTTTCAAAATATTGAGAATTTAATGAAAATTGTATAGAATGTCTTTATATATGTTTAGAACCTTCAGTACAATTTTTAAATCGATTCACTAACGCGTTCACAAGTTATAATGATTTTAATTTGCACCGAATTAACATGTGTTCTTATGGGAAACGTATAACCACGTCGACAAAAACACATGGAAATAATATTCAGAATTTTAAAATTTGCAAAAGTGTAGTTTAGATACAGAAGAAATATTTGATCAAATAATATTATACAAGTACTAACTGGTTAAAAAGATATTAAATATAATTTAATGAAGTTAGCCATGTATCTGTCACAAGGCGAAATTCTCTGCTAAATTTAATCATTTCGATTAACAAAATTCGAAATATTTCAGTAAAAACGCAATAAATATTAAAAAATACTCTGCACTGTAACTAAGATCAAATTGTAATATTCCACACAATTTCTCATACTTAAAATACACCAAAAGTGGATATATTCAATATTGATTTTCAGCTACTTTTTGCTGGGATTGTACATATAAAGTATCCTTAATTACTAAAACTGGAAATGATTGGAATGTATCACGCAAACATGTGAATGAACGTTCCGCTTGACGTTGTCGAGACGATTTAAAAACATGAATTATTTCATTCGCTACGATAATGGTACAGTTCCAGTTGGATTTAGCGCTAATTTTAAAAGAGTGTGACTAACATAAGCAAAACTTGCATTCGTCACTTTACTATGATTTGATTATGCAAACGCGCAATGCACTTTGCGATTGCGATTTAAGAAGCTAATCAATCATTGACTCAACCAACGAAGCAAGTGAAAAAAATGTAAAATATCTTTATTTCCGATGCTCAATGCGAAACTGATGACTTTCTATCTGATGACTAGCATTCGTCCTTGTCAACTTACTTATTGCCATTGCTAGATAAATGATCAGTCGCGAGAGATTAATGATGATTTGATCAGTCAAACATCCAATCACAGCCAAAGAAATCGATATACATATTGTTATTTTATGTCACAATAGTATAAGATTTTATGAAACGGAATAAAAAACGCATTACATCTTCATTCGCGATTGTTGACCGGTAGTTTGTTCAGTTCAAAGACATCATCGTGGTTACAAGAAGAGACTCAGACACACGTAATATATGTGTATACTTTGAATAGCATATATCGCGGTTGAAATGTCGCCAAAAAAGCTTTATTTCTCTGAACACATAATCGTATCTCTTTTCAAAGCATCCTAAACAGTCAGCCAGTCTCGAGAATCAATCGAGCACTTTGCACTGGAAACTAATTTACAGTGGAGTTTGCGATAGAAAACTGCACTTCTCGAAGTTTGCTAACCAGCAAATCGTTGAAATCGACAATCTCATTTGAAACAAGATGCGAGACGTGAAAATATTTTAGAAAGATATATTAATATGAAAATAATTTTTATAAAATAAAATATTTATAAATATTTATAAATTTTTATAAAACAAAATATGTCGATGAGAATGATTTCTCTCGCACATTAACACAATCGCAATCTTTTTTCTTTATAATTCCAATTTAAATCTAGAATAGGAATTATTTTTGATGTCGAATATTGGTTGTATAAATAAAAGTAACAAACATCATTAATAAAATTTGAAAAATTATACAGAATTATTTAGGAAGATAATAACGAGATTTTGTTGTATAAATAATAAGGCAAACGCAGCAGTTGTAGCAATTAAATTCATGTATCAAAGATGATACAAAGCTCCATTCCCGAAGTCACTTCGCGCGTATAACTCTGTCTATATATGTATTCTTTCGTTGCAATCCGCCGTAAACGTTTTCCTTGTCTAACGTTGCTTATATATAAAGTCATTTATATTTCCTTAACTGCCATCTCCTCGGCATTGTCCTCGAAACACGCCATGGCACAAATTCCCATTCCGAGATTTCTATTGGCCTCTCAGCTTCTCGTTGAGCGAACATTTACATTTTAATTCTCTTGGATAAATGCAAATCAACGAGTATTTTTTACAAAATTATTTCTGAACTTGTGCATTGTCATCTTTCAATTAACGTAACAGAAAACGTTACTTGTTATACAGAAAAAAAAGAAGTGTCAAATCAAAATATGTATATACTTAAACTTATATACTCAAACTAACGCGTTCATTGTTTTGTTTATACACAACAATTTCTAATCTTCTTTACTTAAACTTATATACTCAAACTAACGCGTTCATTGTTTTGTTTATACACAACAATTTCTAATCTTCTTAGAAGAATTTAATAATTTTAAATTTCAACAATATTATCGTCTTATTTTAATATTGTAATTGTCACCTCAAGAATATATAATTATTTAATTCTACTTTAAGAAAATTATAATCTTTGATTTAAAAATGTTCTTTTCCATTCAACATTGTTTCTATCCAACATTGTTTCCATTCAAGAAAATTAAATCTTAAATCATGAGAATATATTTTTCGTGATTGAATCTATACTATATAAAATGGTTTCAAGTAAGCAATTATTCAAGCAATTATATTTTTCTTAAATTAACGCGATACAATTTCATTTCAAGATTTCCATGTTAAAACTAAATATATTTTCAAAATAACAATGTCCTTTTTTTCTGTGTATTATTGTCTAGATAGATGAAATTTTAGTTAGCTTTTATGAAAATAATTTTTTATATAAAAGAGTAAAATTTTTATCAGACGAATTGACCAAATTTCGAGGAAATAATATTTTTACATTTTTTTTCTATCGTATAGACGGTAAATTAACGACGTAAATTCTATTACCGGTAATTTTGAAACGAATGTAGGCATCGTTATTAAAGAAACTCTCAGTCGAAACGATAACTGCAACGCGATGACTCAAGCGTGACCACATCGGAGAACATGTCATTTGCCTGGATACATCGATGATCTGACTCTTATACGCAAGAATATCATTGTTATTACAGTGCATCTGCGTGGCACATAGCTATTTATAAAACTATTCCGACATCCTATTATTACATAGAATCAATAATAATCAATAATTGATACATTGATCACTTAGGAATTGTAATCTTTAAACTTTAAACGATACCCGAAGCGAGAATGTCGCGTTGATATGCAATGATATTAATAATTGTAACCTGGCAAATCTCGCTATGAATGTATTAATAGCAGTGATGTAAATACAAGTCCAAGACACGTAAAATTTTTGGATATCAGTTAAATTTGATAATAATCAGATTAAATATATGATCAAGCGATATCCAAAGCAATCTCTTGATTTAATAAAATATCTATGCTTTCAAAAATATATGATTAATGCAGTATTAACATATGTATATAATTTATGTAATTAATTGTTTTTATGTGATATATCCGAGGGGTCAACCATCATTCAGAAAATGTACAGTGGTTGTCATTTTTGGCATAATACATTTTATACAAAACATTTTATTGCTAACATTGCTATTGTATTACTTTTATTAATAATACTTTTGTATTTTTGGTATTTCTATTATTATTTTATTGTCAATATTACCAGTACTGCCGCAGAAATAAAAAGTGTTTCTAATGCATATTATTTTTTGTCTTATATTGCTAATATTATCAATTAATATTTTTCTAAAACATGAATTTCCTAAAATATTTCCTATATTCTATATTTACTATATCCTATATATCCTATATTACTGTACTGCTTGCAATATATTCTTGCTAAAATGTAAAATGATTGCCAGTTGATCCCTCGGATATATCTTTTGTACATCGAGCATTGAATGAGAATAAAAATATTATTGTAACACACATTCGATATAATCACCAACCGTTATAAAATAACTCCGTAGCATTTTATAACAGTTACAAAGTGAGCCGAAATATAATGAACTCTATATATCTGAGACGCAACGTTAATTAAAATTATTATAACGAGACTCTACTGTATCTTGTTCTACTTTTAAACTAGAGCGGCCAAAAATTTAATTAATGGAGAACCCGAAAAAAATGATTATTATGAATCCCCGGAAAGAATAATTAATCGGGATCTTTATGATAAATAGTATTGTTATAATAACGCCTGCCAAAAATAAAATATTTGGCTCATATAAATCGTTCGATGAAGAAGCAACGTAATCGTTCATTGATGTTATATATATAGAGTTTCATTGATATTTATGTATCGATAAATATAAAGAAGGGATGTATATAAATAATTTCTATAAAGAATAGCGCCATATATAATGCCCGTGCTATTTAGAGATTGTTGCGTCCTCTCATCGCTACGGTTAGTCACGTTTATATTTATTTACGGCATGATCTTTTATCTTATCGAGACACTTTTTTCTCTTTTTTTTTCTTCATGCTCGGTCACGAGACATGTTGATACTTTATCCAGAATAAATGATGTCATCTGCAACCGGAATATTTTACAAAAACGCAATCACAGCGCAAAGTTCGTTTATCGAATGTTTGAAATCATTCGCGATTTCCATAGAAATGATTGCTCATCTGATCATCGAATAATGAATTTAACAAATTTTGACATATTGCGAAATAAATATAATAAATAAATATAAATAAATATAATAGTAATAAATAATAATAGTAATAAATAATAAATATAATAAATAAATATAATAATAAATAATTTGAAATATCAACATTAATATAGATTTAATAATTTTTCATTGATCATTAAACATTAAACTTTCATTCACTATATAATAAGAGATTTTCATTTTTTTTCAAAATTTTAGATACTGTTTACTGTACTATAATCTTTAAG